CAGTCTCTACCCTGGAGCTGCCCCTGTGAAAGGAGAGAGTGGAAAAGTGCCATGGATCAGCTCTGCCCCTGGTTCATGGCTGAAATCCAGCCAGGCCACATGTGCTGAACCCTCCCAGTGCTCCAGAGCTGGATTTTCCTCTGGTGTTCCCCAGTGCCTCCTCAGTCCCTCAGGAGCTGCCCTCTCCCACCCAGGGACACGCTGGGGGTGCAGCTCCCTGTTCCACCTGTGTGTCCCACCTGTCAGACACAGACACCACACCAATGACTGTTCCCATTCCTCTGCAGGTGAACCTGGTCCTGAACGAAGGGAAGTCCCTGGGCCTCATGATCCGAGGAGGGGCTGAGTATTCCCTGGGCATCTACATCACCGGGGTGGATAAAGGCTCCGAGGCAGAGAGCACTGGCCTGAAGGTGAGAGTGACTCCAGAGTGGGCTGGGGGGGAGGTGGAGCTGCACATTTGGTGGCTGCAGGGCCAGGTCAGCACGTCCCTGCTGCTCTTCCTTGCCTCTTTCCCCCAGCCAAGCTCAGCTCTTAATGGGCAGGTGAGTGTTGCATTTCTGAGGTGGCTTTTCAGGGCAGGTTCTTGGGGTGTTTTGGACCTGAGCCTGGAGGTGGTGCAGGGAGAAATGCAGCCTTACCACTCCTGGGGTGTGGGTTGTACTTGCCTTCTGCCTTGCATCTGATTTCTCCCCTTTGACACAGCCCAGGGATGTTTTTGGTGTGCAGCAAAAACCTGGCAGGTGAATCACAGACTAGCTGGGGTTGGAAGGGACCTCTGGAGATCATCCAGGCAGGGTCACCCAGAGCAGGTGACACAGGAACACATCCAGGTGGGTTTGGGATGTCTCCAGAGAGGGAGACTCCAGAGGGAGATTGGGCAGCTGTTCCAGGCTCTACCACCTCCATGGAAATAAGTCCTTCCTCATGTTGAGGTGGAACTTGTATTTTAGTTTATGGCCATTGCTCCTTGTCCTGTCACTGGGCACCACTGAAAAGGGACTGGCACCCCTGGGAGATATTTATATGCATTGATGAGATCCCTTCTCAGTCTTCTCTTCTCCAGACTAACCAGGCCCAGCTGCCACAGTCTCTGCTCACAGGAAAGTCACTCTCACCTCCCTGAGCTGGCAGGGCAGAGTTTTCTATTAAAGATCTTGATCCTGTGCCCTTTTCCTGCACCTTCCATCCAAAGCCATTATGTTTGGAGCCAGTGCTGGGCACAAGGTGCTCTCAACCTGCCTGAGGGCACGTGTTTGGAGGCCAGTTCACTGTGGTGGGAGCAGGTGTGTGCAGGTTTCCTCCTGCAGCACTGGCATCCACAGGGATCGTGTCTTAACAAGCAGAACCAGCGGGATCACCCTCGGGATGGAGCTGATCCATCAGCAGCCTAACTTGGCGTGACCTCCAGCTGCATCAGGCTCCTTCCACTGTCAAACAGGTTCCTAAGGGATGCTCTGGGGTTTGGCTGGGCCCTGGTCCAGGGTTGCCTCCAGGTTTGCTGCAGATCTCTGGTCAAAGGAGATCCTGCACCTTGCTCATCCCACCACAAACACACCCAGCACCTCCGAGCTCCTCCAGCCTTCCCGCTGTGCCAGAACAGGATGGGACATCCTGGGATCACAGCTGTTCCTGGAAGGGACATTTGGGGTTAAAATTTTGTATTTCCTAGGGCATGCACCAGTTAAATGAGTTGAAAGGGAGCCACTGGTGTATCTCTGTGCCACTCGGGAATGGGGCACGTTTGAAACTCAAGCTCCTCAGGCTGTAAAATTTTACTTCACTCAGGCTTTCTTTTCCAGTGTGCTTTTTTCTCTCTAAATGACCCAGTTCCCTGCAATCACATCATGCCCTTTTGGCTTCCTCCAGTGCAATCCCGTGGGCCCTGAGAATCAGTTCTTTCCCTGCTCCTTGTGTCAGTCAAAACCTGCTGGATCTTAAACTCTGAAATGTTCTCTCAATCCCCTGAAATGGTGCTGGACTGCTGAGGATCGAGGGGTAATCCACCCTGATCCCTTCCCTGTACTGTGAAGGGACACATTTTTGGACTCAGTGACCTTAAAGGTCTTTTCCAACCTAAATGATTCCATAATTCTGTGATGCCTCCATCGATCAGCCCTGGGCAGTTCAGGGCTAAGCCTTCAGTGGTCCCATAAAGTCACTTAAATTTGTCAAAGCACCAACTGGAGACATTCTGGTGGAGAGGGCTGTGATTTGGGCTGGGACAGACATGATCCTGTCCCTCAAATTGCTGTGGCACGAGAAGTTGCATCTAACTGGGCACTGAGGTCACCAGAGTTCCCTTTGCAGCCAAGGAGACGTTTTTGGGGGTAATGCAGCCCCTGCTGAACTTAACTGTGCTCTGCAGGCACCTGTCTCTCTTTCTGACACAGAATGAAAATGCTGCACTTGGAGGTTTGGATCAATCCAAGTTTTAATCTCTCTCTCGGGTCCTTAGCAGGGAAATGAGGTTTTGACCCCTGTGACCTGAGGGGTCACTAGGATGGGGAGCTGTGGGAGCATCCTGGCTAGAGAATGGAGTGTTTCTTAGGCAGCAAGAAGTGAGAGCTGCTGCTGGAAACTCCTTGCAGAGCCTTGGTCTCTCCCAAAGTGTAGGACACTCCTCTGGGTGGCACCTCCCAGCAGCTGTGCCCACACAGCCAGCTGGGGTACCCGGCTGGATCCCAGGGGTGTCAGTGCAAGGTCATGGCCAGAGACAGCAGGGCCAGAGCTCTGGGACACCAGGATTTCAAGGCAGATGATAAGAGGCACAGGACAACTTGTTTCTGCTTGGTAGAGCTGGAAAGAGAGGGACTGGCTGGAGCTGCCTCGGGCTTTGTGTGGTGACCTTGGTGACACCAGTGTGTGTCCCCAGTGCCTGCTGACCCTGTGCCAGAGTCAAGCTCCATGTCCTAAAAAAAGCCTGAAAGGCAGGAAAAGAGAAGTCGTGTTGTCTTCCTCGGGTTCTTTCAGTTTGATTCATGTTCAACACTTGGGTACTGCTCCAAATCCCTCTTTTGCTGCACGGGGAAAAATTGCTGCTTTGCTTCCCTTTCCGTCCACCCAGGGTGAGCTCAGCAGGGGTGATGTCACCCTGCACACTCACAGGGACACTCACAGCAGCACAACACCTGGCTTTGTCCCCCCACCTCAGCCCGTGCCTGCTCAAAAGGCTGGGGATGAGCCACACTCCCACTCCGTGGAGGCACCCGGAGCTGTCCCTGCCGTCCCCTGTCCCTGCTGTCCCCTGTCCCTGCCACCCCTCCTCCCGCCACCGGGGCTGTTGTTTGCACCCCAAAGCCTCTGCTTATTGATTCTGCACATCTCCCTCCTCGCTGCTCTGTTCCCTGGCAGCTGATTTGTGCGTTCCTGCTCTGAATGTCAGGCTTTATGTGATTTCAGATCAGCACAGGCGCTTCCCACCCTGATTTGTGTTTGCCACGGGCTGTAAATTCAGAGCTGCTCGGGGCTTTGGAGATAAAGAAAGGCCTTTTATGTCCTGCTGTTGACATGGTTGGGTGTAGATCGTGTCCCCCCGCGCTCCCTGCGCTGCTCCAGGTGCTGGTGGAAGGGATGTGATACCACAAGGAAGGAAGAACTGGTGGGTAAATGTGATTTCCAGGTAGTTTGTTGCTCTGTGAAGTAGAAAAACGGTGGGTTTGTTCAATGTGGGTTCGACCCAACCTTGCTGGGTCAATGGGAAGGTTCCTGCTGACTTCCCAAGAGTGGATCCCTCTCTGGGGTTTGCTGCTGTCACTGAATTTGTTACCAGAATTGTTTGAGTTGGTTTTGATGTGATGTTCAGATTGGATATAAGGGAGAAATTCTTCCCTGTGAGGGGGGTGAGGCCCTGGCACAGGTTGCCCAGAGAAGCTGTGGCTGCCCCATCCCTGGGAGTGTCCAAGGCCAGGTTGGAGCAACCTGGGCTAGTGGGAGGTGTCCCTGCCCATGGCAGGGGTGGAACTGGATGGGCTTTAAGGTCTCTTCCAACCCAAACCAATCTGTGATTCTGCCAGACATTTAATTTATACCTTCTTGTATCTATGGCACCAACTCAGAGAATTTTGAAATGTTCTAATACTAAATAAACCAAGCAATTAATGTTTTACATTTCCCTTAAATTTTGATCAAAGAGCAAACAACGTGGTACTGAAAACCAGGACAAAACAAGGAGGTTTTTCCAAGTCCCAGGAGCTAAACTGGCTTTTTTTCTACTCCAGAAGTGGTGCCTTGGCCCTGAGCTGTGGGTCCCAGAGGAGCTAAAGCTGGTTCAGGTGCTGCTGCTCTGTGCTCCGTGGCCATGAAAGGCAGAGCAGCAAACAGGCTGGATCGCTGCAGTCAGTCAATAATTAAATATTCATACTCCTGGCCTTGGCCTTCTTTATGTTTATTCATTCATGGAACTCCTGACAATGTGTTCTTTGGGCATGTTTTAAAATATGCTGCCTGGGAGTCAGTTCTCAGACTGAAGAAGTGAGTGTTAGCAGAGGCTGCAGAGAGCAGGGACGTGAGTCAGCCGTGTTTTGCTTTCAGCTTCTGTCCTTCCTGCCTCCTTGGTGACATTCCCAGCGATGCCATGGCCTTGTTCTGGTGGCATCCATGGCTCTTCTCATCCTGATTTCTTCCCTGCTCATTTTTTTTTTTCTGGTGGTGTATTTTGTCAGAATTTTTTTCTTTTTTAAGCCATTTTTGTTTTCTCTCCGTGACCTTTCCACCAGAAAGAGCAGATTTCAGGCGTTTGCTTTGAACACACAACTCAGTATTGAGTTCCCAGCCCCAGGGCTGGGGTGGACAGAGGCTACAATGATCCATATCTGCCCATACATGAGAGGAGAGGGAAAAAGAGGCTGTAAACAGGAAGAGGTGAATGATTTTACATCCTCAGTGGCTGTCATAGAACAGAGTCATTTAGGTTGGAGAAGATCTCCAAGATCATCAGGTCCAACTGTTCCCTGAGCACTGCTGAGGCCACCTCTGCCCCATGTCCCCAAGTGCCACATCCACATGACTTTTAAATCCCTCCAGGGATGGGGATTCCATCACTCCCTGGGCAACTGTGCCAGGGCTGGACAGCCTTTTCCATGAAGAAATTTTCCCAATATCCAACATGACCCTCCCCTGGCACAGCCTGAGGCTGTTCCCTCTCCTCCTTGTTCCCTGGGAGCAGAGCCCGACCCCCCCCAGCTCCCCTTTCCTGTCAGGGGGTTGCAGAGCCAGAAGGTCCCCCCTGAGCCTCCTTTTCTCCAGGCTAAACCCCCCAGCTCCCTCAGCCTCTCCTGCTGCTCCAGCCCCTTCCCAGCTCCGTTCCCTTCCCTTGGTGTCATCTGAGAACTGACTGAGGGTGCACTCGGTCCCCTTGTCCCAGAGCTGCCCTTTGAAAGCTGGTTTGTGTTTTGAGGTCTGCACGTGGACAGAGATACTGAAAAAAAGAAGAGAAGATAAAATAAAAGCCTTGTGGCTCCCTCTGAGGCTGGGGAAGGAGCTGCAGAGTGAGGGAGCAGTGAGGAGGTGTGTGGTTGTGGTACCCGAGATGGAATGTTTCTCCTGGAGTGATCCTTCCAGTGGTGCCACCTTGCTGGGAACAGACCTTGTTTAAATGGCTCCTGTCCTGGAAGGCCACCAGAACCCTCCCCACAGCAGTGCCACAACCTCTGCCAGCCCCCAGAGATCATTTCCTCTCCTTGTGCTTTCATTCCCATCTGTGTCTGCTTTGTTCCTCCTGTTTGTGTTGTGAAGTGGTCAGGAAAAGAACACGTTTTCAGGCAGCACTTGGCACCAATCATTCCCTACCCTGCTCCCAGATCTCTGTGATCCTTCCAACGGGCTGTGTTGGCCTCTTTGGCCATGGATCACCTGCCCTGCCCTGTTTCCCTCCTGGAGGAGCTGAGCACCTCCCTGTTTTTCTTATTTAACTTGGTCGATTCCCAGTCGATTCATACGTTTCCCTGCCCGTATTTTTAATTTCTTAAGGTCTGCTTTTGGTAATTATTTGTGCTGGAGGGAGGCTCCTTCTACTTTAGTGGTATCTCCAGTGTAATTTAGCCCCTCTCCAGGCACATTAGTGGCATTAAACAGGACTGGTGCTAATGCCAACCCATTTGGCACCCTATTAGCCCTGGTACTCCCAGCTCAATTTGGTGTCATTTAACGTGAACTCATGTTTAAAATCTCTCACCTATTTCTCTGTCTGTGTGACTGAATTTCTCCCAGAGCCTGTTTTGATTATTTTTAAGAGCCTTTAGCTGCTCAGAACCCTTGTCTGAAGCCCATTAAGTTTCTCTTGGCTGCACCTCCCCTTCCCACGTCATTCCCTCTGTCTCCACAAGGAGCAGGAGCCAGGCCTGTCACCGAGGTGTGTTATTTCCGAGCTCTGCTTCTCGTCATGCTCTGTCACCTTTTGCATGTCATGTTCAGCCCCTGCATTTCAGGGTACATTTATCCCTAGGAAATGGGAATAATTCCATTTTCAGAAGTGCTCAAGCACTCAGCACGTCCTCTGTGTGTCCACCCACCATTAGCTGAGCACAACTGAAAACTTGTTCCTGAAATATCCAGGGCAGTAATTTTCCTGTATTTTATTTTTTGTGTGTATGTGTCTTATTATTATTACTTCTTTTATTCTGTGCCAGTTTGGAGCTGTGCATACAGCAAATCACTTTTGCCAGGGTCAGCTTTTGTTTTGCTGGATGGTTCTTTTTGCATCTCTGCAGTTTTTTGTCACCTTCCCAGTTGTCCTTGACTTTGGGGAGAAAATATAATTATTATCCATGTTAATTAGCAACAAATCCTTTCCAGCTCTAATAGGAGTCTGTGATCAAGATAGGCTGATTTGCAGACATTTGGGCTGTCCAGTGATTCCTTTTTATCTGCCCTTCACCAGCAATCATTTTTGCAAGGTCTTTTTTGTTTTTTTTTGTCCCTGCACGTGCTCAAACTTATCCAAGTATTTTGTGGGTGGTTTTTCCCACCTGGTGTTAATGTTCTGGGAGCACCTGGGAGAGGTGGTCATGTGCTGGGCACAGGAGACCAGAGGGATGTGAAGGACATGGAGTAAATGTGGAGGAAGTGATGAAGGACAGACACAGAGGATGAAGTAGCTGGTCCAGGGCCCTTCTGGTCTCCCTGGTGCAACAAGGACTTGCCAGGCTCCTGTTGGGTTCTCTCTTAAAAGGAGAAATTAAAGAAAGGTTATTAAATCTGTGAAACTGTCTTGAAACAAAATAATCATGAAAGTTTAATGCCTGATACAGAAAACTATTAAAGATTCATAATTGCAACAGAACTGTCTAATCAAATTTGGGGGTTTATTGGTCCTTCTTTTAGCAGGAAAATCCACTCCAGTGGGTTGGCTGATAAATCAGAGAGACCTGAGAGATGATATTCATTCCACCTGAACGTGTGTTTCTCTTGGCAGTTCAGGCACTTGTATAATTTCCCTTCCCTGTTTTGTTGTTCATCAGCAGTTTTCTGATGGTGGGTTTAAAGCTGACAGAGCTTGAAGGGAGTCTGAGATATTTTCTTGAGTCTGTTTGTTGGGAATGTGGGCTTGTGTTATTCACCCTCCCCTGGGCTCCCTCCCTTCCCGTTTCCCAGTGCCCTTGTGATCCACCATCCACAGAGGAAGGAACTGTCCCCAGAAATTTGGGATGTTCCATGTTACTGAGCTCCCAGCAGAGTAAGGACGTGGAGCTGTTGGAGCAAGTCCAGAGGAGGCACCAAGATAATGAGAGGGCTGGAGCAGCTCTGCTGGGAGGAAAGGCTGGGAGAGCTGGGATTGTTCAGCCTGGAGAAGGGAAGCTTTGGGGTGACCTGATTGTGGCCTTCCTGTACCTGAAGGGAGCCCATGGATGGAGAGAGACTGTTTACAAGGGCCTGGAGTGACAGGACAAGGGGCAATGGCTTCACACTGTGAAGAGAGTATGTTTAGATTAGATTTTAGGAAGAAATCCTTCCCTGTGAGGGTGGGGAGGCCCTGACACAGGTTGCCCAGAGAAGCTGTGGCTGCCCCTGGATCTCTGGAAGTGTCCAAGTCCAGGTTGGAGGGGTCTTGGAGCAACCTGGGCTAGTGGAAGGTGTCCCTGCCCATGGCAGGGGGTGGAACGAGATGATCCTTCAAGTCCCTTCCAACACAAACTGTTCTGTGATTCTATGAAGAATGAGGCAAATCTGCTCAGGTCCCTGGATGGAGCTGAACGTGGAGCTGAGCTCTGCTGCATCTGGACTTGGTGATCTTAAAGGTCTTTTCCAACCTAAATGACTCCATGGTTCTGTGGTGCTCTTGCTCCAGGTCCTTTTTTTCCTATCAGAGCCTCCTTCCAGCCTCCTCTGAACGCTCCTTCTCAGCACCCTCTGTCCTTTCAGCAGAGGGAAGGGTAAACAAGAGCCCTTCTCTGGCTTCTCATTATTGCCAGCATTATTTTGTACAGCTCCATCAAGCTCCCCACACATTATCTCCTCTCTAAATTTAACAGGCCTAATCTGTTCAATCTGTCCTTTCACAGGCACCTTCATCTGCCACTAATCATTTTTGTTTCGCTTCCTTACAACTTTTCTCTCCCTTGCTGGGCAGGCAGAGATGTGGCCAGGGAATGAACTTGCAGCATTCATCTGGATATGGACATTACACTCATTTTAGAGCTGTTCTCCATTTGTTTCTTACCACAGTTTCCCATCACGAGTTTTTGTTGCAGATGTACCTGTCATTCTCACAGCTGCACCCCGAGCAGAGTGGTCCATGAGTTGTTGGTTATGTGTCCTCTCTGTCGTTCACAGGATCATGGAATGGTTTGGGAATCTTAAAGCCCATCTCATTCCATTCCCTGCCATGGGCAGGGACACCTTCCACCAGCCCAGGTTGTTCCAAGCCCCATCCAACCTGGCCTTGGACACTTGCAGGGATGGGGCAGCCACAGCTTCTCTGGGCAACCTGTGCCAGGGCCTCACCACCCTCCCAGGGAACAATTTCTTCCCAATATCCCATCTAAACCTTTCCTTCAGTTTGAAGCCATTCCTCCTTGTCCTGTCCCTCCATCCCTTGTCCCCAGTCCCTCTCCAGCTCTCCTGGAGCCCCTTTGGGCACTGGAAGGGGCTCTCAGCTCTCCCTGGATCCTTCTCTTCTCCAGGTGAACCCCTCCAGCTCTCCCAGCCTGGCTCCAGAGCAGAGACACTCCATCACTCTGAGCATCTTTGTGGCCCATTTTTCTCTGACTTTTCCCTATTCTTGTGCCTTTGCTGGGAATGTCCCCCTGGGATGCCTGGAGACACCACAGTCAGGCTGTATCAGCACCCTGTCTGGCACTGTGGTGTGGTCACTGTGCTCTTTATTGGATTCATTAGTGGAAGGGGAAACATCCCAGGAAGACAGGGAGAGGAATGGATGCCTTGATAGGTTTGTGGTGCTCTTGGTGTCCACTTTCACCCCAGCAAAGTTCTGGGCAGGACTGGAGTAATCTCAGGTGACAGCAGAGTCGCAGCCCACCACAGGGACTTGGCAGTGCTTAATCCAGTGCTTCCCACTGGAGGAAGAGTCTGGAGAATGAATCCCAGACTGCACTGTGCCATAAAGAAAGTCAGACTGCATTTTGGCAGAGCTGAGCAGAAGCCTGTGGTTAAGGAAAGATGGGAAAGAAGAGTTTCAAAGAGGTTTTTTTGTCAGAAACAGGGTGAATTGGAGTATGGGAGTGAGGAAGAGCAGCACTGGATGCCCTGGAAGCACAGAGGAAGAGGGCCTGGGATGAAGGGGGAAACACCACATGGCTCCTGTGTCCTGAGCATGGCCAGGCTGTCAGGGAAATTCCTGGTTCCTGCAACGGCCCTGCCCACAAAATAAAAGCTCTTAGGAACAGCTGGGGAGGAAATGGGAGGAGAGGAGGGATGGAATCCAGCTGTCTCAGATCCTACAGTTTACAGGGGGTTGGAGGCTGTGGTGAGACACTCCAGTTGAACCTCCCTGCTGCATACAGAGATCTGAGGTTTGGGGCTTCCACAGATGGTTCTTGGCCCCCCAGATCAGCAGGAGGGGTTGGGGCTGGAGGCCTTGATGTTCTTTGGAGGTCTGCAGTTGGTCTGCAGGTCTGGTTGATGGAGGAGACTGGGCACATTCGTCTGACCTGGGATCCTAAACAGGCTCCTCCAGGCTTTGCAGACTGATCCTTCAGTGGCTCCCAGCCTGAGTGCTTGGTTCGTCAGCCAACAGCATTTTTCCCGGTCCCTCCAATTGCTGTTCCCAACTTTGATGGTGGGAGAGGAGGGCGTGTTCCCAATAGGAAAGCTCCCAGGAGCTCACCCCATCCCAACTCCGCAGGTGGGGGACCAGATCCTGGAGGTGAACGGCAGGAGCTTCCTGAGCATCCCCCACGACGAGGCCGTGAAGCTGCTCAAGTCCTCGCGGCACCTCATCATGACGGTGAAGGACATCGGGCGCCTGCCCCACGCCCGCACCACCGTGGACGAGACCCGCTGGATCACCAGCTCCCAGCTCGGGGAGACCCTCGTCAGCTCCGCGGGGTACGTGCCTGGGGCAGCCCCTGGGGGCTTCCTGAGGGAGGGGGGGTGAGCTCAGAGCTCCTGGGGCAGGGCACGGAGTCACCCCGGGCTGGGGGAACACCCAGCGTGTGACCTGCTCTGTCCAGGGGAGCAGCCGGTGCTGGGGTGTGTGGTCCCCATGGGATGTGGTTTGAAGCTGGCTCCCTACCAAGTCTCCAAACCTTACCACAAGAAGTCAAACCTCAGGGAGAAGAGGGAGAAGAACCTCAGGGAGAAGAGGGAGAAAAACAACCAAGAAAAACCCGAAACGAGAGAGAGACAGCTAAAGCAATATATATATATATAAATATATTTACACTTATGTTACAGTTACGTGCAATTGAAATATATACAATTTCACAAGGGAAAGGGAAGGGGGAAGGGAAAAGGAACAAAACCAAAATAATATATATATATATATATCCCAATCAGTAGCCCGAGATCTAGCAACTAAAAGAATTAGCAAAAACTATCTTACTAGTTTCCTTGGGACAACCGAGAGTCACGCTGGAACGATCACCGGCAACCTCCATCCCCCAAGGTCGACAAGGCCCAACCAGGCCTTGCTCCCCAACCCAACAAACTCAACAGCAGGGAACCTGCACCTCCAAGCCACCAGAAGGAAAGAGAGCAAAGGTCTCTCCTCCTTTCTTCTTATAGCCCAGCTTACATAAAAATCGTAGGGAATACTGGGTAAATCTGGGCCTTTCCTTGGTTACAAACTGGTCACCAAGGAAGGCCCAGACCAAACTACCACACCATGTCAACCGAAGCATCTCTGACCTGGTCTGGACAACGTGCTGCTGCCCCTTCCCCTTCTCTCAGGCCAGAAGCTTTTAGCTTCCAGGCACAGGGAGGGGAGAAGGTGCCAGGTCCTGTGCCACATCCCGTGCCAGGTCCTGTGCCAGGCCCCAGGTGACGAGGGACCAGCACTAACTGATCTTCTCCCTCCTCGCAGGGCAGTGGGCAACCACGCTGTGGAGATGACAGCCAGGGTAAGACAACTCTTATGCCTGATGCCTTAGGAAAGACAAAAAAGAATCACTGTTATTATCTTCTGTTTTCCACGGGAGGGAGGGCTCTGTGCTCCTGATTATGGAAGGGATGCTGGTTTGGTGAGGGTTTTAATGGGCCTTTCTCCTCCCCACCTCGTGTTGGCAGCTGACAAGTGAACCAGTGGGTGCCCCCTGTCCTGTGCCACTGGTGAGTCACTTCTGCAGCACATCTGGTGCCTCCCAGCCTGGCAATGAGCACCTTAATGGGCAAGGGGCAGTGATTAGGCAAGGACACCCTTCACCCTGCAGATGGAACTATGGTGCTTTCCACATGGAAAGGGCTGTCTCTGGGCCCTGCCAGCTCCTGGGATCTTTCCCAGCTGGAAGCAGAGCAGAGCCAGGCCTCTCCAGCACAGCAGGCAGTGGCAGGGACTCACCCATGCTGTGCCTGCAGCTCTGTGCCAGTGTCTTCTCCCCACACCTCTCTGCAAAGCACTTTTCTTTTAAATGGAAATAAGGCAGGGAGGTTTCACAGGTGGCTCTCACTGATAACAGCTTTGAACTCTTTGCTGGCAAAACATGTTCCTCAGCCCCAACTCCTCTCTTGCTCTGGGATAGTCAGGATCTTGTCTGGCTCCATATCCCTGTGCCAGTGCTGCCTGGGAGGGAACAGCAAGGACCTCCTCTTAGAAATCCCTCTCAAAGGAAAAAAAGCCTTTCATCTGCAGCCAGACTTGTCTCTCCCTGGGGCTCCTTTGGTTGCCAGTGGCTCTTTCGTCACCAGGGTCTGCTTCAAGCTGGCACTGGGGGCAAATGTGCCTTTTACAGAGGGTGGGAAGCTGGCCTGTCTCTCGTGGCCCCAGTTCCCCCAGCTCTGCCAGGGAGGAATACAGCCTGTGATTAAATCACTGGTCCAGGGGCAGTGTCCCTGCTTGCTGAAGAGGGCTGGGAGGCTGTTTTGGTTTTCAGCTTGTGCTGCATAAACTCATGGAATCCATAGTTTCATAAGATATCCTGAGCTGGGACCCACAAGGACCATCCAGTCCAACCCCTGGCCCTGCACAGATACCCCAACAATCCCACCCCAACAATCCCCAAACCCTCAGAGCGTTGTCCAAACCCTCCTGGAGCTCTGGCAGCCTTGGGGCTGTGCCCACTGCCCTGGGGAGCCTGG